AAAGGCTTCCTCACACTGATTGCTCCACTCAAATTTAACCGCCTTCTGAGTCAATCTACTCAAAGGTGCAGCAATCTTGGAAAACCCTTCTACAAACCGTCTATAGTAGCCAGCTAATCCAAGGAAACTCCGTATCTCCGTCACTGTCATAGGTCTTGGCCAATCAGCTATAGCTTGTACCTTGTGCTGGTCCATAGAAATACCATCTCCACTAATGACATGACCCAGAAAAGTCACCTTCCTTAGCCAAAACTCGCACTTAGAAAATTTGACAAACAGTTCATTACTCCTTAGTGTTTGCAACACTGCTTGGAGATGATTGGCATGATGCTTTTCATCACATGAATAGATAAGAATGTCATCTATGAAAACAATGACAAAACCATCTAGCATTGACTGGAAAACTCGATTCATAAGGTCCATAAATGCAGCTGGGGCATTTGTTAACCCAAATGGAAGCACTGTGAATTCATAATGGCCATACCTTGAGCTAAATGCTGTCTTCGGGATGTCTTCTTCATTAATCCTCAACTGATAATATCCAGATCTTAGGTCAATCTTGGAAAAGATCGTGGCTCCCACTAGCTGATCAAACAAGTCATCAATCCTCTGCAAAGGATACTTGTTCTTAATGGTAAGCTTGTTCAACTCCCTATAATTGATACAGAGTCGCATGCTACCATCCTTCTTCTTGACAAAGAGAACCGGTGATCCCCAGGGTGAAGTGCTAGGACGAATAAATCCTTTCTCTAGCCGTTCTTGCAATTGGGACTTCAACTCCTGAAGTTCCTTTACCGCCATACGATATGGTGCTTTTGAAACAGGCTCAGCACCAGGTATAAGATCGATTGAGAAATCAATCTCTCTAACCGGAGGCATTCCAGGTAGAACTTCAGGAAACACATCAGTAAAATCTCTCACTACAGCAATCTCCTTCAATTCTGGCACTTGCTTGGAAGTGTTCCTTACATGTGCTAGAAAGCTTGGGTATCCCTTCAAAATTAAACTACAAGCCTTCATAGAAGAGATGATCATAGAGGATACACCTCGATCACCCTGAAAAACAAGTTTCTCTCCTCCAGGAAACTTGATCTTCACCACTTTCTTATTGCAATCACTGGAAATGAATTGATTCGACATCCAATCCATTCCTATGATCACATCAAACTCCAACAGGGGTAAAACTATCAACACAACATCAAACTCCTCGCAAATAGTGAGAAAAGTGAAACACATAAGTGTAGCAGTCATCCTAAACCCATCCGGTAACAGCACATTCAATGCAGTAGGCATGGTGCAAACATCCAATGCATGCTTCTTAATGAAATCCTGGCTAATGAATGAATGCGATGCTCCAGTATCAAAAAGTACTCTAGTAGGGAAACACTTGACATGAATAATACATGTGATCACATCAGGAGATTCCTTGGCTTCTTGCGGAGTAATGGCATAGACCCTTGGTTGCGCCACAGGTCTCGCAACCGGCTGACTAGGAGCTGAAGCAGAAACAGAAGCAGTTGACCCTTGAACCCTCGGTCTACCAACAGTAGAATGTCTCCCAGTACTCTGCTGAGGTGGAGCACTAGACCTTCCCTCCCTTGGGCCCTTTGGGCAGTTCCTAGCCATATGCCCAGGTTGATGGCAAAAAAAGCAAACATTGGAGCCCGTTAAGCATTCACCTCTATGCATCCTGCCACATCTATCACAAGTTCTGGCACTAGAAGAACTTCCACCAAAATCAGTTCTGGTTTTCTTTACACTAGAACCTACAGAATGAGTCTGGAAACTCCTGGTCCTCTCAAAGCCCTTCCTCTTCTGTTGAAAATCTCTCCTCTTCTGAACAGCTTGAAAATCAATCTCTAATCTCCTTGCTTTTTCCACCAATACAGCATAATCATCAAAGCTAAAGGGAAGCAATGGCTGACGTATAGCATCTCGAAGCCCTGATAAGAACTTTTGGCACTTATCCTCAGTAGTAGCAATAAACGGAGAGGCATAGTGGGACAGTGTAGTAAACTCCGCTTCATACTGCATAACTGTCCGCTCCCCTTGCACCAGCCTCAAGAATCTCTCATGCATCTGACTCCTCATAGAAAGAAGCTGTCCTGTCGCCAAACTTCTCCAATGACTGTCTTCTCCACCATCTCTCAGCCTCACCATCTAGAGTAAAGGTGGCTAAAGTCACCCTTCGATCGTCAGGACATTGTATTCCTTCCAGTAACTTTTTAACCCTCAAAAGCCAGTTTTCAGCATCTACTGTCTCTCCTACGCCTGTAAAGAGTGGTGGTCGCATGTCTTGGAAAATCTTCAGATATTTGTCTACTACTGGCTCCCTCCTGGAACTAGTCTGGGGCTATTCCTGAGAATGCTGTATCAAGTGTGTGACAGCCGCCATCATTTGATTAAACATATCCATAGTCGTACTACTACCACCAGTAGGTTGTGCTACTGAAGGTAAGGTTGGAACCTCTCTAGCAATGGGATCATTATGCCCATCTGTGTTGCCATCAGTGGCATCGGGTTCTTGATCCATAGCCCTATACAAAGGAAATAAAGCCAATTCAAACAGATGCACATCATTACACCATCCTAAAATACTACAGCTAATTTCGAAAAGTTATCAATCAACCTAATGGCGCTTATACAGATTCAAATCCTAAACTCTGCTCTGATACCATTCTTGTCACGACCCGGCCGGTTAGCTCGTAGATACGAGGCGGGAACGAGATCGGACATGTAATTTAAGTACTCATCATCAGTTTCATGAAATTCTAAAGATATTCAAGAATAATAAAAGCGCCTCTAAACTTTTTCCAACATATATAACATTTAAAACCATCACAAAAGAAGTTCATGTACAAGGTGGTATACACTTAATCTATTCATTCATGATAAAACCACCCAAAAAATGATAACTAAAAACAATAGTAAGAACCTGCCACCCGTTGCGCGTCGACTGTAGGTAAACCTCGGGTGTTCGGCCATCACCTAAGCGTAGGTTCTCCTGAAAAATTTCTCAAAACTCGGGAATGAGCTACGCTCAGCAAGTGATAACTATAGCTAAATTTTATATACATTTGCAAGAACATATCTTATGGAGTAATAGTTTATACATGAGTTAATAGATGTCTTAATGTATGTTGACATGATATGAGACATGCTTGCCTACAACATGAAATGAGATTTCTTAACATGAGAGAACATAAAATACTTGCATATGTTTAACTTTCATTTCATAATGTATACATCCGTCCTGGAGTACCGAATTGTACTGATCAGGTACACATCATTCATGGCCATTCATTTTCATTTCGTTTCGTATTACCTCAAAGACCGTATTTGCTCAAAGAGACACTTCTTGGTACTCCGTCATCAACAATCACAAGCTATGTAGCATGCGTATAATAAGATGCTTTCATATGATATGTAAAGAAATACATATGATAGGTTAATGACCTTTTGTACCTTTCACGCTAAGTACCCTTGCATAACATTAAGTAACAATTGCAAAATTTTTTCCACTCAAATTCTCTAAATGAAAATTCATATTTCTAATACCAAAAGGCTTCCTTTGAACTCTTCTAGCCATTCCTATAAGAGTTTCATCAAAATGAGAAACCCTAAAATTCGGATCCTAGGTTTTTCCTTAAGAAATCATCTTGAAATTGAATTAAAATACATTCCTAAGCAAACCCTAAAGGTTTGCTAAACAAACGTTCAAGAAAAACCAAACCCTCATTTTCGGATTTCAATCTTTTTCTCAAATATTTTGACATGAAGGGTAGAACAACATAGATCAAAGAAATTCCTAAAGCTTTCCTAAAGAAATTTCTCAAAAATATCAAACCCTAGAATCTTTTCTATACAAAAATCTCAAGAAATTCCTAAAGCTTTCCTAAAGAAATTTCTCAAAAATTTCAAACCCTAGAATCTTTTCTATACAAAAATCACAAGTAAACTTCCATTTCTTTTAAGAAAAACTTACCTCAAGGCTTTCCCTACGCTTTTCCTAAAGATCTCTCGCCGGAATCTCGCCGACCGCCGTTTCCCCCAAGCTCTCCCGTCGCCCTTCTCCTTTCTCCCGTCCGCTCCTCTCTCACGGCCGAACAAAAACAACAAGGGACCGATTATTTCGGTCCCTTAAGCAATATGAGGGCTTTAGGAAAGATTTTTACGCATGTGCCCTTATCCCCTAAGTCATTCTATTTTCTCATGAAGGGCAAAATGGGAAAATAAAGGCAAAAGTTACTTAAACGAACTTTAGCGAATTTTCTCTTCAAAACTGTGCAAAATTTGATATAAGTTCTTTATACCGTTTCGCTCGAAATTTCGAGACGAATCTAATGAAATTTATTTCGTCAATTTCCGACGACATCGAAATTTCACTTAAGTTCGTCGCGGCGCATCGATATGCGTGCGACGCACTCAATTGACGAATTTCGAGTTTTACAGTTAAGGCCCTTGCCTGTTGATGATCATTGAATATCACGATTATAGGTTGATGATAATGAGAACATTTATTAGCAAGGATGTCAAACTTTAACATGCTAGCGATCATGTCAGTGGAGTAAGTTTTCCATCACCTTAGTCCTTAGCTTTAAACAACATCCCACACCAGTCAAACTAGTGAACACCCTTCCTCCGACTTGGAGATGGTGTAAAAATAATGAACCTAGTCTGTTGCTAGTATTCTTTGTGTTGGTGATGGGATAAGATTTAGTACTGGATCTCCATCCAGAGATGGCCGAGCTATGCAAAAGCGTTGTTGAGGCAACTTAGCATAGTGAGGACAATCACCATCTTTGAAGGGAATGTAGCATGGCCTTGAGGCAACGGACGCATCTGGACAAAAAGATAGACATTTTGAGTTGTTTCATTTGCCAGAGTTGTGTGAATGTAAAGTTGCACTATTAGCTATTAATTTACATCATATCATGTTGATGTTGCATGTTTATAGGCCTTCATGGTTTAAATGAATATATATTTTGATGTGACAACAGGTAGCGGAGACTGTTGCATTGTACATAAGGTTTTCTCAGGTATCTTGAGATCAGATGTTACTTGTTCCATGTGTGGCTACACTTCAACGACATATGACCCTTGCATGGACATCTCATTGAACTTAGATTACAGCAACGATTCTCTAAAAAGTTTTAGTTCAAATTCTCATGTATGCAATGGAGAAAGTGATTATTTTTTCCTAACTCAGAAGTATGGAATGTCTACACTCCTGGGCTGTTTGGAGCACTTCACAAGGCCAGAGAGATTGGGTTCTGATCAAAAATTATTTTGTCAACATTGTCAAGTGAAGCAAGAATCTATAAAACAGTTGTCTATCAGAAAACTTCCTCTAGTTGCTTGCTTTCACATTAAAAGGTTTGAACATTCCCTGCAGAGAAACATGGCAAAGAAGATTGATCGTTATGTGCAGTTTCCATTCTACTTAGACATGGTGCCCTTCCTTTCCTCTTCCATCCTAAGAAGTCGCTTTGGAAATCGTATATCTAGTATTACTGATGGAGATTCAGATGCAGATATGGAGCTAACTTCAGAGTTTGAAATATTTGCAGTAATTACGCATAGTGGTAAATTAGACTCTGGACATTACACAACTTACTTGCGACAAAATAATCAATGGTACAAATGTGATGATTCATGGATCACTCTTGTAAGTGAGAATGCTGTGCGGGCATCACAGGCATACATGCTATTCTATGTGCAGAAGATTCTTCACTAAAATGGAAAATGAAAAATATGTTTGCCTCTTGATTTTTTTATGGACTCCTGGGAGATAAGGTCAAGTTTAAGTGTGAGATTGTCATGGTTTTTTTTTCCATACTTATTTACCTGCCATGCTGCCATAGAGTATGATTTTTGGGATATTTACATCTTGGAAGCTTTAAAGTGCTTTTGCTTCAGCAGGGTGCCTTAACCTATGAGTTACTTCTTGATGATTAATGATGAAATATTAAATCACTGACATTTATCACATACATTGGGGAGTAGGTGTATCTTTGAATTATAGAGATTAAGGAAGACCAACTTTTTTGAGGCATTCCTTTCAGAATGGAAAATTTCCAGTAATAGAGGCACAGGTACAATTTCTTTGAGAAGCTTTATAGTTATTTATGGCCAAATTGGATGTGCTATTTGCACCTATACATCAAGGTTTTGAATTCTTTCAGTGTGTACACTGGTTTTTCAATATGAAAGTGCTTGCTTTTTGGTAGCTTATTTGAAGGCATTCATCTTTGCTTGTTTTATTATGTTTTTTTTATTGTTGTCATCATCATCCTCATCATAAATCTTATCCCAACTAATTGGAGCTTGTTCTAAGTGTCCTTATTTACTAGGCATTTGGGATACTCACATCAGTTGTATATGTCAGTTGATTTTTCTTCACTTTTGAACTCTTCTATCATATCAGGCACCGCATTACATACCTCAAGAAATTATGCCAAGCTTGCTGTTAGACCATAACTTTTACCAATCAAAATTTTGACTTGTCGTAAAAGACTGCCAGATTACGGCACAAATAAGTTTCAACAACAACAACAAGCCTTTATCCCACTACGTGTGGTCGGCTACATGAATCCTTTTTCTCCATTGTGTTCTATTAAAAGTCAAATTCTCGTTTAAATCTAATAAAGAAAGGTCATTCCTAATATTTTCTAACCAAGCCTTTTTAGGTCTACCCCTACCTTTCTTAACATAAGTCAAATCTAATACCTCTACTCTCCTAACCGGGTCATCACAAGGCCGCCGTTTTATGTGACCAAAACCATCTAAGGCGACTTTCTCTAATCTTATATTCTACTGGAGCTACTCCAACCTTTCCACGTATATGCTCATTTCGTATCCTATCTCTAAAGGTAAAGCCACTCATCCACTTGAGCATCCTCCATCGCTGCTAAGGTCACTATAGTCAATCTTATTTTCACAATCTTCATTAAAAAGTTTAGCAAAATATCTCATCCACCTTTGTTGAATATCATCTTCTAAGAAAAGTATTTTTTTATCTTCATCTTTAATACACTTCACTTGAACTAAATCCTTACTACTCCTATCTCTTTGTTTGGCTAACTTATACATATATCTTTCTCCCTCCTTAGTATTTAATCTATTATATAAATCGCTAAAAGCTAAAGTCTTTGCATCGTATATTGCTTTCTTAGAATCCTTACGAGCCACTTTATATAATTCCCAATTATCAGAATTTTTAAAATTAAAATAATTTTTATAACAAATCTTCTTATTTTTAATCTTTTCTTGCACAATTGGATTCCACCACTAACTATTTTTACTATTAGAAACTTTTCCCTTTGATACTCCAAGCACATCTTTTGCAATATTCTTAATATCACTAGCCACTTTTTCCCACATAACATTAGCATCCTCATGCATAGAAAAAATCTTAAGATCTAAAATCTTACTCTCAAAAATATTTTGTTAATATTCTTCAAATGCTCCCATCTCATCCTAGAAAAATGTTTTACTTTATTTTTTATTTTATGCCCCTTTATTTTAAAATCCAAAACTAATAATCAATGTTGGGTACATAAACTTTTACTCATAATAACTTTACAATCTTTGCACTCTAAATGATTTAATTTTCTAATAAGAAAATAGTCAATCTGGGTTATACTATATCCATTTTTATAAGTTATGAGATGCTCATTCCTTTTCTTAAATAAGGTATTAGCAATTGAAAAATCATAAGCTAAACAAAAATCTAATATGGTCTTGCCACCTTCATTCGTCGTTCCAAATCCATGGCCACCATGAATGCTTTTAAAATCATCAACCTCTCTACCCACATGTCCATTTAAATTTCCTCCAATAAAAACTCTTTTTTCAAGAGGTATCTTTTGTATCAATTCTTCTAAGTCATTCCAAAAATTTAATTTAGAACTTATATCCAAATCTACCTGAGAAGCATAAGCACTTATAATATTAACAATCTTACCCTCAACAACAATCTTTAAAGCTATAATTCTATCTCCAATCCTATTAATTTTTATAACATTATCCTTTAAACTCTTATCTATAATAACACCTACCCCATTTCTAGTACGACTCCTACCCTAATACCAAAGTTTAAATCCTAAACTATTGATTTTCTTAGCCTTCTCTCCAACCCACTTAGTTTCCTGAATGCACAAAATATTTAACTTCCTATGAATCATAATATATATTAATTTCATTAATTTACTTGTAAGGGAACCTATATTCCAAGTTCCTATCCTAATTTTAATTTCATGGACTAGCTTCCCACATCCGTCCTTGATGTGGGAACCCTTGCCTATTTAGCACTGCACCCAGGCGCCGGTGCAGCGGCCCTTGCACACTTGTCACTGTATTCAGGCCATACAGCGCGTCGCTTCCAGGGCACGCCCTAGCATTAACACAATTTCTTAAAGGATTCATGTCATTATTGTTCGACAAGTTTTACGGTGGCTTTCGACTACCTAACGCAACCCTCCACTTTTCTCATCCAGGACTTGGGACCTGGCAACAGCAGTGTTCACAAATAAGTTTCAAAGAAAAAAAAAAGTTTCAAAAGATTACAGCACAAACAAATGAAGCAAATAAGACTTAACATGGTTATGCCAGATTGATATTCCTCTTCTTTTTATCTCATTTCTCTATTTACATCTCTCTTAACTTCACATTTATGAACATTGTGTTTTTTCATCTATGACCGTCAATATTAGATTATTATTATTTTTGTATGTATTACTTTGTACATTCTAGTTTGAGAAAAAGTCTAAAATAGAACCTTGACTATTTGTATGAGGCCAATTTAGTTTTTGAGAATCAAACATTTCTTCAATTTAGTCACTTAATTTGCAGAATTGATCCCTTAGATATAAATTGATGGAAATTAGGATGTAAAATTGATCACAATTTAGTTCTTCAATTTTCAAAGTTGATCCCAATTTAGTCTCTAATGGACTATTTGGGATGATTTTTGTAAAGTTTAAGGATTAAATTAGTGAAATGTGAAACTTTGGGCTAAATTGGCCACATACGAACAATCAGGGTTCTATTTTGAAGTTTAATCCTTTCTAGTCTATGAGCAATTGTATTACTTTATTAATTTAATCATTACATGTCTTCACATGTCACTTATTGTATTACCAATCACTTGGTTGGTTGATATTGCCTTTGATATATAAATTGGAAGTCTAAAGTTTGAATTCTTCCATAAAGAAAGAAAAAAGAAAAACCTATATGTTTGAACTTTAGAAGCATTAACAACAATAGAATCTTAAAAGGGGCACTAGATGGTGACCGAGAAAGACAGAGCAAGTACTATTGTAACTCATGCAATATCCAGTACTAATTCTTAGAGGATTATTGGGTTACGAACTTCTTTAGTTTTTTGTTTGATTTAAACTGTGATGGATTGACCGATTTGATTGAGAGGGAATTAGGAAGTTCCCTAACCAAGAGGAAGCAGGTTCTTAATCAAAGGGGAATTATTTAGAAAATCTTTAAGTATAATTGAGAGGGAATTATTTAGGGCAAGAGATCTAATTTGAATTTAAATGTGAGAAGAAATTATTTAGGAAAGGGGACTGATTTGGGAGGTAACTAGGGGAACCTATTTAAGGCTAACAATAGGGTGCTTCTAGGATTATGTTTTGATTTTGCTGAATTTAGTTTACTCTTATGTTGAATGGGCTCTAGCCGGCGGCTAGAAATTTGGGAGAGCTGGATCATCCTCTCCAATTGAAGATACAACTGTATCTTGATATTTTCTTTCATATATCTTGCAATAAAAATAGTTTTGGTGTGTTCTTTTTAATTTCCTATTGTTGTTCATTGATTTCGGGGAAATGGTATTCACTTCCTATCAAATTGGTATCAAAGCACTTTTTTCAGACATATGGCGGTAAGGAACTTAAAGGAAATGTTGGCCAACTCAAATAAGCGTTTGAGGATAGAATGTCATCAATGGAAAAGAAATTTTCTAACCTAGAAGGAATGATAAAGGTGTTGGATCTTCATGTCAAAGAACATTATCAGCATTAACGACATTCAATTCATATCAAGCAGAATTGCCAACAAAGCATGAACAAATTTGCTAGAGTAGCTGAATTTGATGCAAAGTTTTGTTTAATAAATTTTGCTTATATCGAGCAAGATTCCAAAGTATCTTTAGTTTCTCAATCTCAAGTGAACAATAATTCAATGGCCTCACCTATGGAGAATCCGGTTCCTACTAGCTCATCATTACCGATTACATTAATAGATGACATTGATATGCTTTTGGAGCCACTTCCAAGGATGGGAATGGGTGAAGGAATGAGATTTTTGGTGGAGCTGTAGAATTTGGAATGAGGAGAAGATAGAAGCACTAAACATGATTTAGCCACTCCTACAACAGTATCAAGAGGTGTTCCAGCTAATTAAGGGGTTGCCTCCTCCGTAGGAATACGAGCATGCTATCATCTTGAAGGAAGTAGTCTCATATATCAATGTTCGTTCGCATCGTTATCCCGAAATCCAGAAGGATGAGATCGAGAGATTGATCAGGGAAATGTATAAGGCAGGGATCGTTTGACCCAGTGTAAGTCCATTTTTCAGTCCGTTGCTATTAGTTAAGTATTTCAACAGCAGTTTCCTTCGTTCCACCTTGAGGACAAGGTGGTGTTTTGGGAGGGGAGTATTGATTGACTGGCCGATTTCATTGGGAGAAAATTAAGAAGTTTCCTAATCAAGAGGGAGATGTTTAGGAAGGTCCTTAATCAAATGGGAATTATTTAGGAAAGTTTTAATTTTAATTGGGAGGAAATTATTTTAGGTCAAGAGATATTATTTGAATTCAAATATGAGAGGGAATTATTTAGGGAAAGGGGACTGATTTGGGAGGGAATTAGGGGAGCCTATTTAGGGCTAATAATAGGATGATTTCAGAATTAACTGAAGTTAGTTTACTATTAGGTTGGTTGGTTTCTAGTCGGTGGCTAGGGATTTGAGAGAGCCGGATCTTCTTCTTCATTTGAAGATCCAACTATATCTTGCTATTTTCTTTCATCCATCTTGCAATAAAAATAATTTTGGTGTGATCTTCTTTATAATTTCTTAT